AATAAAAATGGTTGGATGCTAAGAGGTTAAAATATATATCAGAAAACCGCTGGATTAAATGATCTTCATGCTACAGAATATCTGGCTTGGATCTTAATGAACCTTCTGATGCTTCAACATTCAGCGTTGGATCGCGAGTTTTGTCTCTATGTGAAGCAGGTGCGTTAAGTCTGAGCCAAGTCCTTCTCGAAGCTGAAAGTAATGACACTACCTGCTGCGGTCGGCCACGCTTCCTTTAAAGCATCTAAAGAGGAAGTTACTAAAATGCATCGCGCTCCCGCCACATACAGTATGCAAAGTGTCACATGTGGTCCGCTGCTGCAGGTTATGGAGGAAAGGTATAATAATAAGGTGTAATCTATACAAGAAATCCAGCACAGCAAATACTTTTTAACCTTTAACCCCTGCTAATGAGTCCTGGTGATTAAAGTGAAACTTGGAGATAAGTCGAATAATTTATACTGTAAACTCCAGTGTGATTAAAAAAAACCTCAAAAACTAAGGTTAAAATTACTTCAATGGAGTTTTGCTACGGTGCAAAAGTCTTGAGCCACCACTTGCTTTTTATATTTTCCGAGGAAAAAAAGAAAAAGGTGCAGCGATGTATCGAAACGTGCAATCATACATAGAAACACAGTATGTAAGAGAAAACATCTACCAAATAAATGCATTTGGTATTTTTCAGCACAGCCTGAACTCTGAGGCAGCTTTCTGTGATTTCTTTAAGTATCTGTTCTCCAGATTCTTGAAGGACATTCAAAGCTCTCTGGATGTTTCCCACGCTGCTTCAGTCATGTTGAGGCTCTGATCCATGACTGATGCTTGTGTGTTTTTCTATCCAGGTACGTTTTTACTGCATTGGCAGTGTGTTTGAGATCATTGCATTCAGAGGATTTCCAGATGGTACAGCATGGTGGAACAAAACGGGATCTCCAACACCACGTGCTGAGATGCAGCTCCCAACAATGGCAGAGCCTCCACCGTGTTTTACAGACGGCTGCAGACTCTCACTGCTGCACCTCTCTGCTGACTTCGTCCATAAATACTGGACATGATTAGAACGAGACATTTCAAATCCAGATTTGTCTGTAACACCTGTTTTGCTGATTTTCAGTCCAGTTCTTGTGTCATTTTTATATGTCAGCCTTTTCTTTCTGTTTCCCTTCGTAAGAATGGCGTCTCGACAGCCGCCCTTCCACTGAGACCAGCTGAAGGTACAGATGCATCTCTCTTTGCTGTTTTCCTTTTTCTCGTTTCTTAATGACTTTCACATGCTGTTCATCTGCTGTAGATATTTTTTGTCCTCCACTTGTTCAGTTTTAAGGATACACTGCACAACATGCCAAAATATGCCAGGTTTTTGGCTAATAGCTCTCTTTGGGAATCACTTTGCTGCTGTTATTCCTGTCAAACTTTTACCTTTAGCATTTTTAATACATTCATCTAAAGAAATGAGAACAGGCTGTGCTTTTGTGACAGGCTGCTAGTAACAAAATGCAAAAAGATACAATTTGAAGATGGATCTTTGCTGTGTAGACACAACGCTAGTTCTCCCTTCAGCTGCGTACGTTTTATACCCGAATGGTTAATAGGTCAGAGTTTAAAATCAGTAAACCTGTGAAAACGGTCAGGTACAAGGACTGGACTGAAAATGAGTGAAAACACAGCCAGTGAAGAACTTTGAAAGACCTTCAGAGAGCTGGAG